TTACTGTTTCCACTAATGTAATAAACTGCTACAAGGTTTTAAACCTTCTAAAATTATCAGTTAAATGTTTAGAGTTTGTGTCGTCTAATAAACAATTAATTAAATAAGCCACTGTCTAAACTGAAAAGTAGTGATTACAAAGTGGGAAACTCACACTAGCTATGTTCTGCGATCACTAGTATCTAATGCAAGTTAATGAGAAATCCAGTCAAGGTCGCATCAAATTTTATCGTATGTCTACACGAGAGTTGTAGCGGATAGTTATAGTGCTTATACACGGATATAAAAAATTTCAAGATTAAAAATATTTCTATTGATCTCATGATGTTTCAATAAAACAAAGACGACGAAACAGAAATTACATTAGGCTAGGCTGAATTCAATGGCGAGAGCCTGTCTGGGCTAGGCCTGCATGAATTGGTTAGGCAGTATACGAATCCCACCTATCGACAAATAAAAAGCAAAATAATGTTCAACAATAACATCCAATTTTTTCATCTTCACTTGGTAGAGAATTCCGAAAAAGCGAAATAACACTCTCTGACCTACCCTAACCTAACTATGAACATTATTTAGGAGATTTTTGGCAGCATTTAAACCGAGCTACTAAAATGTAGTATGCGAGTACGAATGTTGACTCGTGGTTGTTCATTGCTAGAATGTGTGAATTGCAGTGGCTAAAGATAAAGCAACCGTATTAGCTGTAATTTCAGAATCATGTACGTAGATTACAGTATCTCACCCGCGTTCACCGTATCTCCTCCAGCTCCGGCTGAACGAAATACGGTGAACGCATTTAATTGTGCTTTTAAGAATAAAAATTGAAAAAAGATATATAATACTGTAATATAATAGAAATTTTGTTATCATGACAACATTCTTAAATGTAGTCCTTAGAGGTTTCATTATTAGCTAGCAGTCAGTGACTTTGACCGGTTACTACGGCTTTTTCGTCGGCTATCTTTTATCCATTTCTTAATTATATTGTTTGATTTACTTCAGTTACAGAGTTCCTGTTTTACAAGTTGTGATGTTGGTTGTGGTAAAAGAATCCCAGAAGAGCCAATTTAAGCCCTTGAAATGCATTAATATGCTTTGGCTTCGGGGGCTTTTCCCCTGCATCCCCATCGAGGTATTTCCCTTCAACCCCACTGGGGACAACCCCCCAGGATGTCCCCTGTAACTCTTGCTCATTCTCCTCCTACTTTGAACCTTAATGAAATCCTTGGTCTTATATGTTATCTTGTTAATATTACTGTATTAAAAATAAGACAACTGTGTCAATATTTGGTTTTCTGTAAACTTATATTATTGTTTTTATTAATAAAACCAGATAAGATGTTTAGTTGGTGCCCTACAGTAGATGCTTGTATAAAATAATATCACCAAGTTTCTACCTTTGGTTTGGAAAGTAACTATCTTGACCACTATATCTTACTGTACTCAACAGCTCCATGTACGTTACTACATACATACTGTACTTGACCTTCCATATTTATGACATGATTATTTTACCGTATGCTTGATATACAGTACCAGCGATAATGTTGATGTTGTTACTGATTTTGAACGTTATTGCTGTCTCAAGTTTCATAGTTCATTCCCATCAAGCTTTTTTTTTTTTTTTTTGTTGCTAATGTAATTTGAAACTCCGGTACTGGTCTTTTGTCAGCTTGTCAATCAAAACTACAAGGTTTTGATTGTTGATCTTGCGTTATAATTTCTTTTACTTGTAAGTACACAAATTGCAAAGATTGGCATGCTGTAAACAATATTACTGTTAATCATGTTGATTTCAATGACGAAAATTATGCCTCTATCTTCCACTCATCAGTGCAAATCCATTGGATTTGTATAATTTTGGACGCATTCGTATGGTGCTGAATAATGTACTGTAGATTATGAAGTAAAATAATTTAGGAATTGTGGAAGTTTAATATTATTAAATGACTAGAATAAAATACCTGCACCTCAGAATATGGTTCCCATGTAAATAGATGGTGTGTATGCTTGTACAGTATGTTATTGTTGTTATCTTGCATAGAGTATTCTTTTTGCCAATTTCCCTACCGTACAAGTTTAGGCAAATGATATTGTGGACATTTTTACAGATTTTAAAGTTAAAATGATTGGTATAGAAATATCAATGAATTGATCATCTTCCTTGTTAAATGTTTTTTGACTTGGAGCATCTTTCGATTTGAAACAAGGCAAGGCAAAGCAATTTAATAACTAGTGATTCTATCACCTCACCTGTGAGTATGATTAGTATATGATATTACTGTACAGTGTAGCAGGGGCTGTTTTAGGGAGAGTGGGCTGATGATGATTTTTCCTCATGTCCCGTATGCCACATAGAAGTCTAAAACTTAACCCTATAACCAAATTTTAAAAGATAAAAACTTTTAACTTCAGATCCTTTAACCTCAGCATAATCTAAAGATACATTTACCTGGACATAATTTAGGATCAGGGTAGTCCTAAACAAATGAAAGAAATCCTATACCGTTAGTAAAATGGATTGTTTTAGGATGTCCTGTAGATGTCAATGCTTACATACTGTAAAAGTTTCAAAAGGTGGTAATTAAATGAAGTCAGTGTGTATTTGAAAGAAACTAAAGTGTTTTTCTCTTCTTAGGACTGTTGACTATATTAAGTATGGGTACATGAAGTTTTTCTATCAATTTAAAGACTAATATTCAGAGATGTCCCATGTGCCACATTTTGGCTGTCCCGTTTGCCACGCTGACCGAAAATGTCTAAAAGGCGGTAATTAAATAAAGTCAATGTGTATCCGAAAAAAACTGGTGTTAGGACTCCTGAATTCATTTTAAGTATGGCTGAAAAGAAATTTTCACTGAAAAAGTCACAGACTTTTGAAGTTGAATTTATTTTTTACACCACGTAACCTTTTTTTTTGTATTTTTCCTCCAAAAACTTATTACAGCTAAAATGGCAATCATGTGTTGTTACCTATTGTACAACATACATATTGTGATAAAATATTTTTCTTTTGACTATTAAATATTAATCATCCTGCAAAACAGTTTCTGAATTTCCCGTACGCCACATATGGAATCGCCCACAGATGGTTTGAATAAATTCATTTTTAGATATTCTCTACTGTATATTGGAATAATTTTTGTTAAAATAATTGGATTGAAATACATACCAGGTACTGCACTTTATGTTCACATTAAAGATAACCATTCGAACATTTTGCTAATTCTATACAAGATTAAAGCTAAAACCAAGTCTTAATTATTTATTTAATAATAATTTTATGAGTTCTCTGACAAATAATTATCAACAAAGTTTGTTTCCTGAGCCATTTGATTAATAAATGGCTCACCTTCCCTATAAAATATTATTATACAATACAACCTATTTAAATTTCCTGCTATTTGATTGGTTAATTTGTAGGTCACATGAGATTAAATTAATTGTTTCATTTTAATGAAAAAAGTACATTGTTCGGCTGATGTCACTTTTCATTAATTTTTTTTAAATTTGTCAACTTGGTTGTGTAATTTTGGTTTCATGGAATGCGTCACTATGATCACAAGCTTTTGACTTTGCAAGAGCACATATGACCAAGCTAACATATTGCCAAAGATCTATTTATATAGTATGTTCAATATAGAACAATGAATCAGTGTTAGAAAATATATTCTTGAGGTCAAAAGGTCAACTACTGTAGGTGCAGCCAAATTCATTTTTACAATTTACCATTAATATTATTTTTATAACTATAAACATGATCCAATGAAAATTATGACATAAGAAATTATGACAAATTGTGTATACGGTACAGTACAGTATATGCAAGTATGTCGTAATTTAATAGTAATATTTTTTTTTTTCGATCTTCAGGAGTAAATAGCTGTGCACTTTAAACAGTAAGGATATAGTCATACAGTATGACTTTTAGATAGTAATATCAGTTTCTGTTGCTGGTAAAAACCTAAAAGTACTATACTATAAAACCAGACTCTAATTCAAGATAGTATAATACATACTCCAAGTATCTAAATGCACACCAGCGTGTCAGGATTCAATATTTCGAGATTAATTATGTCATCATCAGGAATCAATTAGACACTAATTCAGTACTTGAATATTTTGGTTTCTGTCAGCATCAATTTTCTGTATACTACAGTAAAAACTTTGTACATTGCTGTAGTACCTGTAAGTTGGTTTACCACTGTATAGGTTCTGAGAAACGTTTTTCTACCATAAAAGAAAAGTTCGAACCTTTTCATATTTTAAAGTACAGTATCCCTGCTTTAGTTGTGATATAATGACATTCTTTTGTTATGATGAACTATCAAATGATTTAAACATTTTTATGATGAATTATGTTGTATCATGAACTAATCATTATTCAGAGTACTAAACCGCCAGATCACAAAACAAACACAAGTTTATTTAATTTTTTTAAGGTACTGTGGGGAGACTTCATGGCCTTGGGTGGGAGAGATGTTACAGTGTAGCCTAATGCTGGGGAGGCTTACTGTAGGGAGGAAAATGGTTTAAGCTAAAGGACAGGGAATGGTTTGAAGTGTAGAATACGTATGGCTCTAGTTATGAGGAATAATGAAAAGAGGATAGTTTTAAGGCTAGGAAGGAAGAGTTGTTGGAGGCATAAAGTGCCATAAAACTAGAATGAACGAAATTATGAGGGTTAGGGAAAGGTAGTACTCAATTGGTTGTGAGGCATACTGTAGGGGGAAGAGTGGTATATGAGGCTTAGGAAAATACTTAGGTGCGACGCCGATAGAGAGGTGGTGGATATGACACTTAGGAGGAGAATGATGGCTATGAGCCTTGCGGAGTAGGGTTGGTTGTGTGGAAGGGAGTGGTTATGATGCTTAGGGAGGAGGGTGGTTATGGCTTAGGGAAGGGAAGGTTTGTGAGGCTTGGAATGCGGTAAGTGGCCTATTTTCCGACTTAATCATGACTTTCGATTTTAAACCTATTATCTTTTTTTCCTCCTTCAGTCTTCAAAACCAAGAGCAGGTATATACTGCTTCCTCATAGAAGAGGTTAGGGAAACAACGGAACTTGAATTACCTGGAACAAAGCATGCATTTGCCCTCAAAGTAAGTAAATTTATTTAAGTATAGAAAATTATTTATGTATTTATTTATTTGGCATCATTGCCACTTTTTTAATACTTTATATAATAACTTATATTAGTAAGGAACTAAAGGATTTAAAGGATTTGGAAATGTTGGTAATGACCAGAAATACCAGAAGACAAGACAATCTTCTGTATAGAAGTCGTGTATTCCTATCGAACAGGAAGAAAGGCTTACCAACGTATAACATGAACAATATGTCATTCTTTTATTTTTACCACTCATTTGACTTCAAAAAAGTCTTTCGTTTTCATTATTCAAATATACTGTATAATAGAAACTGCAAAAAAAAAATAATAAAACTGCAAAAAAAAATAATAAAACACAAAACAGAAAATTTCATTCCTTAAGATACATTTTTCACATCAAAAGTCTTTCTCTTACATTTCCTATAAAAACAAAAATTGAGAAATGCACTTTACTGTACAGTACTATTGTTCAAAATTTAAATGTTGCCGTTTCTGTGATGATACTATATGACATCATCACTGATTAATACATTGGCAAATTATCTCATTTCTCTTAGGATGTAACCTAATTGATAACAATCAACATCGACACTACTAATTAATTAAACTATCTTTGCTTACGTCATTGTGGAAGGTTGTCCAATTAGTTGTAAAGTTTCATTATCTGGCATTGCTCTATTACATTTTTTTTTTTAACAGTAGAACTAAATTGTGAAACCATGACACTACAGTAACTGAGAAATAAAAATAATGATGATTTCTGATGACACAATATTGTCTATTAATAGACAGCTTTTTAGAACTGATACATTTTTGCATCATGTTGTAAACAGATTTTCATAAAAAAAATATTTCCTGTGAATGTGATCAAAAATGTTATTCATTAATTTTAATAATGCTGATTAATTTGGATCCTCATTACTGTACAGGTTTAACAAATAATGTAGATTTAAAACATACATTATTATCTAACTAAAATAAAAGTTAATAAATATTCAAGGAAAATTAACAAATAAAAAATGAATAAAATTATGAAAATAAAAAAATATATAATTTTTTTTGTATTAGGACAATTTTAATATTGATGGATATGGATGTATTGCAACTCAAATTATACTAAAATTTATTATATTATATTGATAATAAACATTACAGTTCTCCTACATTAAACCACTGTAACATTACAGTATAACTCAAACCAACTAAATAATTTGAAAAATTATTTTTCCATTTCAAACCCAATGAACATTGCATTAATTACTGATGTACAAAAGTTGAGACTTCTTTAACTTGTTTAAGAAACTTTTTGAGAGAACGATAAAAGGAACCCCAACAATACACTAAATATAAATTACAGTACCTAGTGTTTTTATGCAGCAGAATTGTTTTTTTTTTCCCCAAAGAATAAAGAGAATAAAAAAAATAAAAAAACAAAGAAAGAAATATTATGAGATCTCTAGGTGGCAGTGTGCATGATTTAGTTAAAAAGAAAAGATTTAATTATTTTAGAATTTTTCTTGGTGGGAGGAGCGCTATAATTGTTTATAGGTTTTTCGTGGTTAAATGTGCTTCAAATGTAATCCTTTAGATGCTTAATGACATTGGAACTCCCCTTGAATGTGTTTTGCTATTTACAGTACTGTACTGAATACAATTTACAGGGTCACATTGTCAATATATAACTTTGTTATTGCTCTGATTGTTTAAGTACTTTTTCATTGACCGTTGCACTGACCTAGCCTTGACCAAGGAGAAATAGGCTTAAAATACAATTAAAATGATACTTTAATTATTTTAATCAACAGAGAACTTTGAACTTGTCCAAAGCCACTGAACTAGATATGTTTTTAAGTCACATTTGAAATGTTTTAATAACAATTATGAAAATGGACTGAATACAACTTACCTGCCAATTTGTTTTTTTTGTTGGTATGTCTAAATAAGGCCCTATAAAAAATATTATTAGTTTATCACCCTATCTGGGCAGGAAAAGTGATGAGGGAGGGAGGCTTTTTTTTTTTTTTTTTTGAGGCTTTTTTTTTTTTTTTTTTTTTTTCTAAAGCCAAATATAACCCTTGGTTTGTTTGCTGGTGCATTGATATTCAAAGCAAAACATGATTTAGATAATGCAAACAATATCTACTAACTATTTAATAAAATAAATGAAAAAAGTAAATAAATAAAATTAAA